AAGGTATATTCCTTAATTAAGGGGTATTGGAGTTTCTGGGCACCCCTATAACACCTTCAACCCTATGGTGAGCTGTCAGCCCCAAGCTCTGCCAACCAAACGCCTAAATCACCGTAAACCCTAAACCCCTAAACCCTAAACCCCTAAAACTTAAACTCTAAACCCTAAACCCCTAAAACTTAAACTCTAAACCCTAAACCCCTAAACCCCTAAACCCTGAACGCCTCAAGCCGTAACCCGAGCCCAGAACCCTGCAGTTCGCGAAGGTCGCAGCCTTCCTTGCAAGAATTCCCAGAGACTCCAATACCCCTTAATTAAGGAATATACCTTAAATTAAAACATGATTCAAGGTATATTCCTTAATTAAGGGCTATTGGAGTCTTAGGGTTTCGAGTTCTTTAAGGCTTTATATAGGGTTTAGGCTTAGGTTCGGGTTTTAGGGTTTATGGGGGTTAGAGTTTGGGGGTTTAGGGTTTTGGATTTTGGGGTTTAGGGCTTAGGGTTCAGGCTTTAGGGTTTTAGGGCTTTGGGGCTTTAGAGTTTTAGGGTTTAGGGCTTAGGGTTCAGGCTTTAGGGTTTAGGGCTTTCGGGCTTTAGGGTTTTAGGCTTCAGGGCTTAGTTCTCCAATACCCAACCTTTAAACTTGTTGGGGTCTTGTAGTTTCGTAGTAATCTGCAAGGTTAACCTTTTATTTCCCCGGCTTATAGGGGAAAGTAAGCCTTTGAGAATCAACATCAAGGACCTCGAACAGATCAGTGCCCCTATCAAAAAAGGAGTTATCAATGTGAAGGTACTTCGAGAAGGAGAGTCTAGTACCCCCCAAACCCAAAACCCTAAACCCTACAAGATTATATCCTAAAACCCTGAACCCTGACCCGACAATAGTAAACCTTAAACCCTGAGCCGTACAACGCTGAGTGATACTTTGTCGGAAACCTATCAAGAGACCTCCAGTTCGGATCCCAAAGGTCCGGTCCCATAATGACGGGTTTAGGGCCCCAGTTTGGGGTTTAGGGTTTAGGGTTTAGATTCATATAGGGGCCTGAATAAATTACCATTAGTTTTGGGGGCTCCTTCTTACATGTTTGTTGTAAAATATACCCAACACTCTTTTCTATTTATTAAGGCCCCGATGTTACATTGATTCTTGGCGTTCTTCTGGTTGGCTCTTAGGACTTTAACTTTTGGGGTTTATATACAAACTATAGGAAGTGGTCTAACAGTTTTTCTTTCAGGAGGGTTCAGAAGTCAGCCAAGACTTAATTAATGCACTAGAACTATGTTCCTACAAATCTACTGTACCATGCTAGCCGTCCCGCATTATGGGTGCGTTAATTTAAGGGTTTCTATGTTGTCGTTATATGGCTGTAAACAACGGTTTTTGTAAGTTCCTTCTAGGGGTCATTGCGATCAAGTATTTTACAGTCGTTTTTTTGAACCACTCATTCTACTGTGGACCCGATGAGACCTTGACGTTCAGGCTTTTTACATGTAGCATGGAGATCTCCACTACTGTTGATGATATAAAACCTGCATGACCTTAAGGACCTTAAACTACGGAAATTAGGGTATATTCCTTACCATGGGTAATGCCGGGTTTATATCATCAACAGTTTGAGGCTGGGGCCTAGGACGAGCTTTCTGGAAGCAGAAATGGAACGAAAGTGCGCTGGTGCATGCCACATCGGCGTCTGCAGAGCATTTGGACTTATTGGGCACAGCTTGCTCGCTTCAATCGGGCTCGTGTTGCACTGCGGCGAAGCAGCTTACGCGCTCGCAGGGAGCGCTGGTGCAAGCAACTTGAAGAAGCTGAGCAGGCTTTAACTTGCAATGATTCGCATGCTTTCTATGCTGTGATCCAGCAGCTGGCACCGAAACAGGCCAGAAGCCGCATACAGCTCACAGGGTCAGACGGAGGTGTGTTATCGGCTGAGGCCGAGGTGGATGCACTGCATGCATACTGGCATGATGTGTTTCATGATGGTTCACAGGTCACCACTTCTACACTTCGAGCCGGCATGACAGTTACCCTCCAGGAGGTGCAGGAAGCAGTATCCAGGCTGCCCATGAATGAGAATGGCACTCGGCCGCGAAAGCTTTGACTTGCGGCAGCCGCAGCAGAAGAACTCCGGGAGTGGCACTCCTTATGCACATCCTGCATCATTCAGAAGAAAAACATACTAGCTCCCGTATTTAGCATACTGAACCCTAAACCCTAAACCCTAACCCTAAACCCAAACTCCATGAACAGGAGAGTTTTGAGATTTGCTTGAAGGGCAACCAGGGTCTCTCTACACCTTGATCCCCACACCAAACTACCCAAACTAATATAGGGGTCTAAAGTTTAGGGTTTAGGGTTTAGGGTTTAGGGTTAAATAATTACCTATACTATTTTTGAGGGCTCAAATCGCCGGCAGCAGGGCCGGAACATTGTAGCCCCAGAAGCATCGCTTTGTCCGAGCCATCAAACACCCAACTTCCCCTCCTTGGCATCGACGCCAGCGGAGGCTCAGAGCTCGCTCGAGAGCCCTCCTCAGACAGGGCCTTCGTCTATCTGGGAGACAAGCCCGCAGTCTGACAGTCCACCACGCCACGCCGGGCTCCGTGAGAGCCCAGTTACAGTCGGACTTTCACATGGGCAAGAAGAACGGAAAATGGGGAAGTGGTGGCTATGGAGGATACTCGCAGCATGGTCAGTCTCAGCGCTCCTGGAATGTGTGGCAGGGGGCCTGGAGCCCCAGGGACCAGGAGCGGGCCTCTGGGCGATCAGAGGCATCGGCCTTCCCGACGTACGACATGGACTGGAGGCAGCCAGAGATCATGGCGGTGAAGGAGCACCGTGTTGTGGCCAAACAAGAGGAGAAGCCCACTTTTGTGGGACAAGTCCAGCGGGCGGTCAACAGCGCCCGCAAACAGGACGTGAAGGTCGACAAGATATCTGCAGAATTGCTGGAGAAAGAAAGGCGTTGGCAGGCCTACGTCCAGAAGATGCAGAAGTCCTACATCGAAGAACATCGTCGACACACCGCAGACACGGCCCGCTTGAACAAGGGGATGCTGGAGGCCCAGGAGGCGCAACAAGCCGCCCACCAGCAGATTCGTGCTGTCCTCACAGAGACCATGCAGGAGGCCAAGACGGATCCCCAAGTCCGTTCCGCCTTGGCGGACTGGGAGGCAATGATCGGCTGCGCGACGGCAGGAGCCATGGAGGTGGAAGAACAGGAGTCTGCGGACCTTCGCTATGCACGCCGGGTCATGGAGCAGAGAGGACCTGTCCTGTCAGATCTGCCCCGCTTTGGGGCAACGAGCCACCAAGGAGAACATGTTCCTACCACGCCGCCACGCAGGACTACAGGTGCTCTTCCACACACGCCAGCTACGGACAAGGCCAATCACCCCTACGCACCAGTGGTCAGCCGGCCTGCGAGACATTGCGAGCCTTACAATGTATCCCCTGGAGCAGTGGCGCTGGGTACTTGTGCACATGGAGCCGCGGAGGATGCCAACACTCACCCGGGTGGACCGCCAATCACCACAGCTCCTTCACTGACCCATGCCGCGCCGTTCCACACCAAGGCAGCCGACGATCAGCAGGAGTCCAGAACAGCGCTCGGTCCATTTCCGCCATTGGATATGAGTGTTGCAACCAAGCTGGAACAGAGGCGCGCTCTGCGCCCCTTCGGCGCACCCCCGCCCCAGACGGAGATTCACTCGTTAGTCGACGACGATGTAGATCTGGACGCCGCAGCCCCGGCGGTGTCGGGAGCCGCCTCGCCAGGTTTGGGCAAACTGGAGTGACACCGGCTGAGACGGCCTACTGTACAGCTCTGCCTTCGTCACCCTTTTGCTGTTGGGTCTGTTCTTGGGGATGTGGTCGCCTTGAGGATGGCATGACCATTGGATTGACCTTGTGTTTCGGGTCAGTCCATGGACAGCCTTTCTCCTTCGGGCAAGACTCTCCTCAAGTGATAGGCTCTTCGGCAACCTGGTGTCGAAGCTTTAGCTTCGTTGACCATTTGTACAGTTGTAGGCCGTCAGCTCTCCACCAGCTCTACCCTCAGGCTTTCACGGCTCGGGCCGAGTCATCCAGCACATATGTTGTTCCACACGGCCCGGGTTCCGTCATTCGGGGTCCACAAGGCATATTCGTCTTTGTGCGCTTCTTTTGGGACGCGCCAGTGGCAGAGGTACGTGCTATGGGTTTTACCGTTCCTGCAATTTTGCACAAGGTTCCAAGGTGTCCTTTTGCGGGTATCGGGTTTCGAGTGCGAGAGCTACTGCTCTCTGAACTAGATGAGGGGGTGCCGGCGCCAAAGAGGCGTATCGGTGGCTCAGGGACGCTCGCCGGCCCCTCTTGTCTCCGTACACAGCTTTCTGGTCAGGGCTTCGTGTTAGCCTTGACCCTCTTTACCCGGGTCCTTGTTGGCCTTTCGGTTTTCCTTGCCAGACACAGCGGACTGGAGCTGAGCAGTAACATCCTGACTCTAGGGCAGTTCTTGCTTATGCTCCGATGGAGGGTCTTTCCCCTCCCATTGCAGAGGGGCTTTGGCCTAAGGCCCGTGCACCGACCTCAGGTTGATCTCTCGGTGGCCTCGCTGTCCTTCGCCCTCCTGCTTTGCATCGCTGCCCAGGCTCTACTTAATGCAGGCTTAGGCCCCTCACACGGGATGTTTGAGGCCCACCAGGTGCTTGACAGTTTCGGGGTCGCCCTCGCGGCTTTGTTCCGTACAGGGTCTCTGTTGCACCTCTGGGTTTTGGCCTTTACCCTGTGCGATTCGGCTCTGCGCAAGAGAGCCAGCAACCGACGAAGTGGGTTTGTGCCTGAGCATCAGACCATCCTTCTCCCGTTTGCGTTCGCCTCAGTGGACCTCTTGCCATCCAGGCCACAACGCTCCGCCAATTGTCGCCGCACCAGGTGTCCTTCCTGGCCTTCGGGGCGTTTTTGCAAAGTGTGCGTTTGGTTGTTTGGCTTCTCGTGCCTTCCTTTGCCTGTCCGTGCCATGGTTCCAGACATCGCACCGATGCCGCCGGGCTTTGCTGATCTCCTCCCGGCACTGGACCCTTCTCAGGATGGTCCGCGCCCACTGAGGGGAATTCCCGAGCCCACGGTGCTCCCGGGACTTCCTGAAGCAGAAGAGGTCTTTGAGGCTTCCTTAGGAGTGCATATTGTCTGCCCTGGTTTTCAGCCGGACCAGCGCACATTGCGCATCCAGGTGCCTTGTGAGGTTCGAGATGTGGAGTGGATCCTTTCCAAAGACCTTGCGATTTTTGCACAGGATCAGAAGCCCATTGTTGTGGCGGCCGAGCCGCAGCCGAGGTCCCAGGCTGCTGTGTTCCTGCTATACCCGCCCTGGACTTCATCTGCAGGGCTCAGTGCAGTTGTCTTTGATCTCTCTGCCATGCAACCAGGTGGCCGCGGTCCTATTACTGCAGGCTTTCTGTCACGGCCTACCAATGTTGCAGAGATCAGACGGGAGACGGGCATTTATTCCATGCCGGACTCCTGCCGAATCTATGTCGGCTCTTCGACAGTGCCTCTTGGTCCGGAGACCTCCGTTGCCATAGATAGTGGCTGTGTTGTTACCCTCCGCAGGGAGGCTGATGGGCCACCGACTCAGTCAGCTCCTTTTTGTGAAAGGTTGAGGTTGAGGCCAGGCGGTGAGGAGGAAATTCAGCTGCCTTTTATCCCCGCAGCCCGTGCCGTCACCCTCCTTCATACTTCTGGCAGGTTTCTCTTCAGTGGAGCTAGGGCTCCGCATGTCACCCCTGATCAGGCGGCCGCAGATTTTGTGGGTGTGCCGCGCCATACGGTACAATTCTGCGCCCCAGCCCCGGGCTTCCTGGAGAGACTCGCCTTTCGCGGTTCCAATTTAACGGGACTGATTGCCTTGGTTGATCTTGAACCAGATGGTAGGCCTCCCATCATGGTCTTCATAGATTTGCGGCAGGTCGCAGGGGCAACCCAGTTTGCCAAATTGGATGACTGCAGGATCACCAACGAGCAGCTTCGCTCGGTCCTTCCGTTCAGCCCACCGCCGGGTTGGAAGCTGAAGGTGCAAGGAGGCAGGCGACGTGAAGGTTACATCAAGGTTCACTCCGCAGACACTCTTGTCTTCAGCTTTGGTTGGGCCGCTGATTCGGATTCCGATTTCGAAGTGTTTTCGGATTCCTCCTCTGACCGAGATAACGACGACGAAGGGGAGGAGGAGGATGAGGACGAGGATGGGCATGACAGTGACTGCCCCTCACAAGCCACCACAAGGTCTAAATCCCGGTCCAGGTCCAGGCACAGGACGCTTCCGGCGTCACCTACCACCGATGGATCATATGTGCCTCTATGGCACTGACACGCAAGCTGCGCCTCCTTCTCCAGGCGCCGACATTCAGGCTGACAATGTCACTTGCGACAGAGGTAGGTTTAGGGTCTTGCCTGTTGACTTGATTAGTTCCTTAGAGACTAAGTGGTTGCTCGACTCGCCTTCCCTTCCCGAACCTCTCTGGACCGAATCGCACCCAGGCCTGGAACAGATTGCCGGAACATTCCCCCTGCAACATTTCGTTGTCCATGGTGGCGACCCTAAAGGCATCAGGCAAGCCAAAGTGACAGATGCCAGTCAAGGAGACCCACTCCCGGCCTCGGCAGCAGGTCTTACTGGCCGGCTGGAACTGGAACTTCAGCGCACTGGTCGCGGGCCAGACATCAATGACAACACGCCCGTCTTTACGGCCGAGGCTCCAGGCCTTTTCATGCCTCAACAGCCCACGCCAGCCTTTATTCGGGCTTTGTTCTTGGTCTTCGCCCCTGAAGTTGCGCCAGAACCCATTGTGCTTCCGCTTCCTGTTGACATCACAGTGGAAGATGCGCTGCAGCGTGTAGGTCAGGCAAGAATGCCTGATCTGGCTCGACGGTTTCACAACCTGTTGCCAGCCAGCCCTCAGCCCTCCATGCGATTTGCGACCTTGGTGGCGCTCCCCTCGTGGTGCACTGCTACTCACGTCGTCTTTGACTGTGTCCGTGTCAATGACACTCTGTTTGTGGCATGCGTCCTTGGAGAAGTTGACCGCGTTCGGCTCCTGACTCTCGCCGATTTGGACCCCACTGCGCCAATAGAGGTTTATGTTCCGGATAGACCTAGACCGCTCCAACCAGGAGAGAGGGTCCTCCTCTTCAGTGGACAATGCATTCATTTTGTCCCGAGTACCCACCCGGCTTTCGCTGTGGCGGAGCTCTCCGACATGCGGTGGGACGCTGATGCCTTCATCCCAGGGGCGTTAGGCACCTGGTTTTATGTCATCACCGATGCCGAGCCTTTCTTTCTCGGCCGTGCTCCGGGGGCTGGCCCCATGCGCTCAGCCATTGCAACCACTCTCAATTGCAGCGAAGAGGCAATTCACATTCAGCCAGCCGTGCCCCGAGTCCTGGATGCCTTTGATTTTGGTATGTTATGCCAAAATGTTATTGTTGCCTCCCAGGCTTTCTGCCCGGACACTGAGGTTGGAGCCACAGAGACAGTCTTCATCTATGACTTGAGGCCCATCTTATGTGGTTGGTTTTGGAGTGTTGCCAGGGATCATCGGGTGCATGTGCCCACGCTTGTCAGTCGCTTTGAGAGCGCATGCCCAGAGGGACATTTTGTCTCTATTAGTGGTGGCTTGCCCAGTCAGGATGCTGATGGCCTTTACCTGGAGGTGCATCCCGGATGCGTTCTCGTCGTTGACTTCGTTGCCGGTCCCATTACTAGCAGTGCTTGCGGCTCGGACTCATCGGACTCCGACTTGGACTCTTCTGGTGCCGGGGGATCCGACTCTAACTTTGATGAAGATGCTGCGCCCTCTGCTGGACCCACTTTCGCCCCTCCGGTTGTGCGCTCAGCTGATCCGCGGCCTCAGGGCCACGACGCCGGCAGTGCCCACGGCAGGGCCCATATCACTCGCACATTGCGCTTGCTCCCAAGCCTTTTTCCGTTAGGTCTAGGCTGGGTTTCTAGGCGGAGTGTTCTTCAACTTGCTGTGGCTGCCTGTGTTCTTCTACCGGCGGCCACAGCCATGCAGTTTCCGCCTACTGCCTTCCCACACAGTGACGAACGCTCTTTGCCTCACAGAGTCATTGCCAGGCCTCTTTCCGTTCGAGATGGCATGTGTGCCTTTGGTACTCGAGATGTTGCCCATTCCTCTGGGCCCCACAGGGACACCCCTGCCCTCACGGTTGACGCTTGGCCCGACCTCTGTGTTTAGGGAGGTCACCTTCCTTTTGACAATTTTCTGGTCGGGCCCCCAGGCCCTTTAAGGCCTCTACCAACCCCCTGCCGCGCCAGGCTCCGGCACGCCATTGGAGGTTTTACAGGTCAGGCCCCAGATGGGAGGAGTGACTCCAGGGACAGCTCGTACTCTGCGTGGCTTAGCAGTGGGCCCACTCTTCTGGAGGACGCGGCTTCCAGACCCGACTTTCGTGGCTTCTACGAGTCGAGCACCCTCATTGAAGTCCTTCTGGAGCATTTTGGCAACCCCCAGCCTCTCGCTCGTACAGTTGTTTCACTGTCAGACTCGTTGCCAGTTTCTGACTTTCAGCGTCAGTGCTTGGACTTGCGTGCCCTTGTGCCTGTGCCCGCGACTCAAGCCGACCTTGCTGATGGCACAGACTGGCTTGACAATGACCTCACTGCTCTGATTGCAGACCACAGTGTGCCCACTTCTTTTAGGAAGACCTTTGCCAGTATTGAGCTCTGGCACAAGTCCGGGCAGATCGGACAGAACATCCAGTCCCTACATGTTTATACTGATGGTTCTGCCTCTGTCAACACTTGCGACATTTCTCCTGCCTCGTGGGCCTTTGGCGTTTGGATTGAGACAAGCACAGGCCTTTTCTACTACGGAGGCGCCGCAGGTTGTGCAGTGCCCAGGGACACTCCGTTTCATGTTGGAGAAGCCTCTGACACTCCGGTACAGGCCGAACTTCTTGCTCTCATCTGGGCCCTTTCCTGGTCGGTCCAGTATGCCCCAGCCCTCTGCAAACAGGTTTGCTTCCACTATGACGCCACAGGTGTCGGGCTTGGGGTCTTTGGGGAGCAGCGCGCCGTTGATTGCGAGGCATTGTCCGGCTGTATTTCTCTCGCAGCTTTCGCCGGACACCTTCGCCAGTATGCGGCACAGATCCTGCAGGTTTCGCACGCCCACATCAAGAGCCACACTGGCTGTGTGCCCAATGAACTTGTTGATCAACAGGCAAAGAAGGTGCGGAGGAGTGTTGATTCCGTGTGGGACAGATGCCTGCCTCCCTGGCCGGCTTTACTCTTTAGGCACCCCTTGGTCGCATGGACATGGATGCTGGCTTCAAATGCGCATGACTTGCCGGCACTGTTTGCCATGGAAAGCGAGGCGTTCCGGCTGCAGCTTTTTCCCCAACAGCCTTCAACCTTTCGCAGATACGGACAGCAAGAGGTCCAGATTGAGTCAGGTCATGTCAAAGTTGAGATTACGGCCGTCTCATACAATGCATTGACTCTCAAAGACAAATGCCGCAAAGGCCAATCAGAGGCAGAGCCGGTTGGTCTCCGTGTCACAGGACGCCGAGCGGTTCTGATACGGGAGCTTGACAAACATGCTCCATTACTGGTCGGACTTCAGGAAACGAGGCTGCAACAGTCTGCCATTTTACCGGACAGTCACTACGTCATGTTGCAGGCCGGGGCCACCGAACAGGGGGTCGGCGGCTGTGCCTTGTGGATAGCCAAACACAGGCCGTACGGCTTCTATCAAGGTAAACCGCTCTTCTTGAAAGAGACGCATGCCACTGTCACGGGCTACTCCCGCAGGCACATCAATGTATGCCTGGAGGCTCCCTTTTTACGCCTCTTTGTATCAGTCCAGCACGGCCCCTCTCTTGCGAACCATACGGCTCAGGAAGTCACGGCCTTCTGGCGAGACCGCCAAGGCGAGGTTCAGCGCAGGCCACAGGGCATGGATTATATCCTACTTGTGGACTCCAATGCACGACTTGGAGACCTTGTCTCAGTCGCTGTCGGGCCGCACCAGGCCGAGCAAGAAACGTTTGCAGGTACCCTGTTTCATGATTTCGCGCTTGCCTTGGAAGGGTTTCTGCCAGCTACCTTCCAGGACTTTCAGACAGGCCCCGGGGATACGTGGAGCACGGTGCAGGGCAGTCTTCACCGCATAGACTACATCGTGCTTCCTCAGGCATGGCGCTCCTTTGACATTCAAACGCGCACGCTCCAAGGTTTTGAGGCTCTCCAGCTTCGGGAAGACCACACCCCGGTGTTCCTCGCCGCAGCCTTTGGTCACAGACTTAAACCAAGTCGCTATCTCCGACCGTCCAGGGCGGCACATCGTCCACAGCCAGCAACTGCTCCAGCACACAGACAGCGACAGCTGGAGGTCCTGTCTTCACTGCAGCCTGCTCCGTGGTGGGCCGATGTTGACACTCAGTTTGACTGGTTCGTACAGTCCTGGACGGCAGCTGGTTCGCTGCTTGATGAGGTGCCCGCTCGCACCCCGGTCCAGCCGCACATCAGTCCGGATACCTTGGAGCTCATTGATGCCTGTCGTGCCTTGCGGGGCTATCTTCGTCAAGAGTCCAGAGAACGAGAACGCAGGTTGAAGATGATTGCTTTCTCAGCCTTTGTGCTTGGTCGTGGCGGAGCCTCTTTCACTCAGCAGGGTGTTGCAGCTGCCAACAGATGGCTGTGGCAAATGGACTGGAGTGAGGCACGAGGAGCTGCACTCCTCAAAGGCTTTGTCTCCTCTGCACGTCGCTCTGTGCGTTCGGACAGAGCTCAGTATCTCCAGGGCCTGGTTGCTTCTGTCTGTCAAGGCCAGATCAGTGACCCTCAAACGCTTTACAAGGCAGTTCGGAAAGCATTTCCGACAGCGCGCTCGGCCAGGAGGAGCTCGCTAAACCCACTCCCAGCTCTGCTTCTCTCTTCTGGCCAGCTTGCCACGACTCAGGAGGAGAGAACAGAGGCCTGGAGACAGCATTTCAGCGATCAAGAGGCCGGGGAGCCCGTTGATCCCGATGGTTATCTAGCTGGGTTCAGCTCAAGCCGGTCTCGGTGTTCCGCGGTGTTCGATATTCGTGCAGTGCCCAGCCTTTTCGAAGTGGAGCAAATCATAATGGGCCTTAAGCGGGCCAAGGCTCCAGGCCCGGACTGTGTGACCAGTGACTTGTTGCGGCTTTGGCCCGTGCGCTCTGCCAGACACCTTTTCCCGGTTCTTGTTAAGTCTGCAATTGCCATCTGTGAGCCGATCGCCTTCCGAGGGGGTTCGCTGCACTGCTTGGCCAAAAAAGCAGGCGCCGCACTAAGGTGTCCGCAATTCAGGTCCATTCTTCTGGCTTCCACACCGGGGAAGGTTCTCCACAGAGCCACTCGTAACCGGCTCGTTCCTCTCCTCCAGGAACATGGAAGCCCGACGCAGGCGGGGACCATCCCGGGTGTCGGCATCGAGGCCATTTCCTTGTTGGTGCGAACCTTTCAGGTCAGCCGGCAGCACGGGGAGGGCTTATGGTCCTTGGTTTTCTATGACCTGCAGGCTGCGTTCTACCGAGTCGTCAGAGAGACTCTTTTCGCATCTGAGGGTTCCGATTCGGAGCTCTGCAGCCTCATCCATAAGTTGGGGTTACCTTCCAGTGCCATTACGGAGCTGGCCCAGCAACTCCGCACGTTGTCCATTCTGCCCGACTTTGGTGCCAATGCACACTTGGCGTCCATTGTGCAGGACATGTTGAGTGCCACATGGTTCACTATTGGCATCAACGATGTTATTACCCTTACTCGCAAAGGGTCGAGGCCCGGAGATCCAGCTGCGGACGTTATCTTCTCCCTTGTTTTCGCTGCATTTGTGAAGACTGTTGACGGTAGATTGCAGACTGAGGGGCTTGCTCCGAGTCTCGCAGCTTGGGGGCCCAATCATTCCTGGGCAGATGCTGACGCTCCGCTTAGTTTGGGCTTGCCGTCTTGGGCTGATGACTTTGTGTCCCCAGTCACAGGCCGGAACCCCTCGCAACTGCTGGACCACTCCCAGCGGACCGCGCAGATCATCCAAGAAATGGCAACGTCGATCGGCATGAGGCTGACTTACGCGCCTGACAAGACTGCCGCCCTGCTTCCATGTGGGGTTGACTGGCAGCTACATGGTGCCACAGTCGACCCCGAGCTAGGCATGGGCTTCAGTGTTCAAGATCGCCTGGCCGGGGAGAGCCACCACGTTCCCATTGTAGATGCTTACAAGCACCTGGGTCATATTCTGACCTCCTCTGCCCGTCCACAGCCGGACATTCAGCTCAGGAGGTCCCGGGCTCAGAGTGTCATCAAGCCGCTCAAATCCAGACTATTCGGCAACAAGGAAGTTCCCCTCCGCACGCGGGTGCTTCTGCTTAGATCACTAGCTGTCTCGAGGTTCGTTCATTCCAGCGCAGCGGTGATCCTTTCGGCTACGGTACATGAGAAGTTGTGGGACCGGGCCTTCCTTGACCTTTGGCGTCCCCTTGTACCCAGGGTGTCGGCAGACAAGCAGGCCCACTCCTTTGAGGTGCTTCGCGTTGCGGGGGCGCCTTCCCCTCCCCTTGCCATGGCACGGGCGCGCGCTGGCTTTCTACGTCAACTCACGCGTCAAGGCCCGGTTGTCCTGAGGTTCGTCCTTTGGCAACACTGGTTGCAGCACCCTAGAAGCTCCTGGCTTTCTCAGGTCGAGGCGGATGTTGACCTGGTTCTTCAGTACTTGCCTGGGTTGAGTCCTCTATTCCTTGATGCGATGCGGGAGGATCCCAGCTGGTGGCTTGGACAGGTCAAGAAAGCCTGCAAGATCTTTCAGAGTGACATGGACGCCTGGCATCGCCGTGGCAGCCCCTCGGTTGCCGTCCCGACAGGGGAGGACCTGCAGGCAGAAGGGGCGACCAAGCCCTACCAGTGTCCACTTTGTCCAGCGTGTTTCCCTCTAAGGAAACATGTCGGCGCCCACATGGCAAAGGCTCATAAGACGTGGAGCCCCACCAGGCACTTCACTCTGGACGTGTACTGTCACGGTTGTCATGTATGGTACGGGACGGCTGCTCAGGTCAATTTCCACCTTAAAAGGTATCCGGCTTGCCTACGCAGAGTCTGCCAGCTTTTTCCGCCTCTCACGACACCTCAGATTCGGGCTGTAGAATTCGAGGAGCAGCGGAATGCTCGCAAGGTTCGCCAGGGGCAATGGGCTCGCTTTAGAGGGGTACGACAACGTGCCCTTTTCTTTGGTCCCAAGACTCCTACTGCTTCCGAGCGCCTAGCTGGCGTCGATTTTTTCGATGAGGACTGCACGCTCGCAGAGCTTCGCAAGGCGTTCCAGCCAACCCCAGCCGATGTAGAGTGGATTGAGCGCTACATTTCTGGTCGCTCAGCCGAAGGTCCTAGACAAACGTCTGGGGCTTTCTGGCGTACAAGGGCGCTGCATTGTTTCACCTAGAATTCACACATTTTTGGGACGCGTCGTCAGCGACTCGACTGTCCGACATCCAATCCAATCCTATACTATTTTTGGGGGGTTCCTTGTTATAACGATGGTATACTGGGCCCCAAAGTCTCATTATGGAGGCCCCTACATTGAAACCTAAACCCCGGTGTTTCCTGCCGTGAGGACCCACACGTCGTTGGAAGTCCGGATGCTGATTACAAGGTTCGGCACGGCTGCGAAGCAAGTGATGCGAGGCGATACTAGCAACTATGCGAATCACAAGTAGTAACTATAGTAGTTGTAGTGATAGTAGCTAGTAATAATAGTAGGTAAAGTCTTTAGGGTTCCTTCAGGGTTTTGAACCCTAAACCCTAAACCCTAAACCCTAAACCCTAAACCCTAAACCCATACCTCTTGGAGTGCGCGTAGAAGAGGTCGAAATGGAAGAGGAGCCTTGGACACGGGCTCCAGGTTTAGGGTTCAGGGTTTAGGGTTTAGGGGTTTAGGGTTTAGGGTTTTGGGTTTAGGCCAGCTGTGAAATTTACATCTCAATGTAGGTATTCGGGATGTAGGGTTTAGGGTCGTGTTCCGACAGCATACGCGACCCTAGCAGAAGCAGCGTTAAACCTTTGGCATCGGATTTAGAACCTGTAAGAGCTCAAGCTTCGCTTGGTAGTAGAGTCGGTAGCCTTTAACCGCTGTGGGGTGCTATAGTCCTTATATGGCAGTTTCCGAAAATTAGGGGTACCATATTTTGGGGTCCAGAAAATGAAGGATCCTACTATCTCGGGCTCTATACTAGGATCCCCTCTTTTCGGAAACTCCCATATAACCCCAAAGGTAAACCTTTAGTTCCCCATATACTAGACAAGTAACGTAGGGGCCGTAGGGGCCTTAATAACTAGAGTGCGGTTTTGGGGCCCATTATATTCTAGTTATAATAAGGAACCCCCACGAAAGTATAGGTAAGTATTAAGACCCCTAAACCCCCACACCCCTAAACCCTAAACCCTATATTAGCTTCATGAAGCACCTTGGAGTCTCCACCCGTTGACAAGGATTCTGCCTCGTAGAGGGCATAACGTAGGGGTGTAAATAACTTCGTTTAGGGTTTAGGGTATACTACTTTGGAGGTTTCTTCACATAGTTTTAGTACAATGGATCCCAAAACTTTATTCTAATTATTAAGGCCCCTATGCTATTGTCATTCGGGTTGTGCATTTAGGGTTTGGGGTTTAGGGTATATAAATTAAAAAGGAGAGTTCCTGAATTGCAGGGTTTTGGAGTCTGTGGGAAGTTCCCAAAACCCTAAACCCTGAACCCCTAAACCCCTGAACGCTAAACCCTAAACCCCTGAACCCCTAAAAAACCCTTAACCCTCCTAAACCCTGAACCCCTAAGCCCTAAAACCTTTCCCCAAAAACCAGATCTCGGGCGTCGTCTTGGGGAAAGTCTCCGAGAGCGCTGTCGACAGCATGGCAGAATTCGGCCTCCACGCGGCAAACAGCATTTTTGGCTTTGGTTTTTAAGGGTTTTAGGGTTAGGGTTTTTAGGGTTTGGAGTTTAAGTTGTGGGGGGCTTTGAGAGGGGAAGCAGTTCTATAGGATGTTTAAGGGCTCATAGGTGGTTTAAAAAGGGAAGCACTTCTGAGAAATCGCTCTTGCACCCACCTAGTGCACCGGCACTCCTACCGATGGAACCCGCAAAAAGTCGGATAAGCCTTGTTAGCACGCCTTGATGAGCGCATTTAAACTTAGACCTCTCCTTCACCCTACAAAGCCCCTCATAAAATCCGAAATCCTAACCCTCAGGAACCTTTTGTTTCGTAAACCCTAGGTTTAGGGTTTAGGGTTTAGGGTTTAGGGTTTAGGGTTTAGGGTAGACCCCAAACCCTAACACTCAAGCCCCTTTGTTTCGTAGAAATAAATTGAAGCTTCCAGTCAAAGGTACGGTGTCGGCCCGGACCTGAGTCGCAGAGGATGTGATTTAGCCTTGCCTTCGGTTTCGGCGGTGTAGTCTAAGGGCTTTAGGAGGGACCCTTACTAGGGACCCTTGTAGGTTATTGTGGTTAATATGGAGACTACCTGGCTATATAAGGGGTATATAAGGACTATACAATGGTTATTTGAGGTAATGGGGTTAAGGGTCCCTATTAGGGGTCCCTCCTAAAGTCCTTAGATGTAGGGTTTAGGGTTTAGGGTTCCGTTCATGGGGTTCTCCGGGGGTTCAGGGCTTTGGGGTTTTAGGGTTCGGGAGGTAGGGTTTAGAGTTAACTTTGATTGATGTACAGAGGTGTAATGTGGGGCTTGAATAAATAAATACCAATACTATTGTGGGGATCCTTATTCTAATTACAGTACAACATACCCCAACACCGTTTTCTGATCATTAAGGCCCGTATACTACTGCTATAGAGGGTTCCTTCAAGCAAAGTACTATAAGGGCCTGAATAATTACCTATACTATTTTTTTTTTGGGGGGGGGCTCCTTATTCAACCCAAAACCCTAAACCCTAAACCCTAAACCCTAAACCCAAGTATAGTGGGCCCCAAAACCCTATTCTAACTCTTAAAGGCTCCTGGGGATCCACTTGTTAGATCCTCCTGAGATTCTGGGCACCGGAAGGATCTAAAAAGTAGATCCCCTAATGTGGGACCCTATACTACTAAGGGGTGCTTTAAAGGAGCCTCCTTGCGGAATCTATTTTTTAGATCCTTCCGGTGGTCTGGGTAATAAACCCCAAAAAGTTGGAAACCGGATCAAGGACAAATCGTGCTGGGATTCCCTATACACTACTCTTGAGGATTGAGGCTATTGGATTTCCAACTTGGGGGGTTCCTCGTTTTAATTATAGTACCCCAGGTCACACTTTGCATTACGCCGTTCAGAAGACAAGAAAAAAGGAGAGACCTTAAGCCATCCGCGTGTAAGACCCTAAACCCTGACAACCATAAAGCCAGAGAGAGAGAGAGAGAGAGAGAGAGAGAGAGAGAGAGAGAGAGACGGGATAAAGTCGAATAAGAATAGGGACACATGATACAAGATCCTGAACAATTTCAGTGAGGTTTGTGTGGGTTTCATGGGCCTTGAAAGGGTTGCACAAGGCTCAAACGCTCAGACCCCTATCCCAGACCTCCGGAAGGATCTAGACATTAGATCCCCTAACTTGGGAATCGAGACTTGAAAGAAAAACTCTTAAGGGATCTATTTTTTAGATCCTTCCGGTGGTCTTGGATACTCTATGTCTCGACTGTCGACCTACTAAACCCTAAGTTACCAAGCCTCGTGCAGAGATGCTGCGTTTAGCCAGGTCATGGGTTTTGGGTTTTGGGTTTAGGGAGTCTGTTAAAGATACCCTTGACGCAGACCCTAAATAGCAAGATCCTTACACTAAGGACACCTATACGATAAGGAACCCCGACTGTCAACCCAGCCCCTGTAAGAAAACACGAGAAAAGGAATACAGAGAAAGCGCCAGAAAAGACCTAATCTAAAGACGAAAGGCTTATGATGAAGAAAGCGAGACGTACAGACCCTAAGCCCAGAATCCCTCTGCCCTAAAACCCTTACACCGAGAATCGACTCTTACGATTCAGAATTTCAGGCTAATGTCAGCAAACTCTGATGCTTTCAAACCCTGAACTCCTAAACCTTTACACCCTAAAACCCTAAACCCCTAAACTCTAAACCCTAAACAGGCCCTAAACTCCTAAACCCGAGACCCTAAACCCTAAATCCTTAAGCCCTGAACCCCTAAACCTCTAAACCCTGGACCCTAAACCCTAAACCCTTAAACCCTTAACCCCTAAACCCTAAACCCCTAAACCCTTAAACCCTGAATCCCTAAACCCTAGACCCTAAACCCTAAACCCTTAAACCCTAAACCCCTAAGCCCTAAACCCCTGTAAGACTCGGGCCCCCAGAGGCACCGCATTTCAAGAAGAAGGGTGAGGCCTCGAGACGAGGTGCTTTGAAGGCGCGGGGGTTTAGGGTTTAGGGTTTAGGGTTGGGGTGTAATCTAGGGGCCTGAATAATTACCAATATTTGGGCTTGGGTTCCTTATTATATTAGTTCTATAAAAGAGCCCCAAACCCTATTCGAATGTTTTAGGTCCCTACCATAGGGCTTGGAGGGTTTAGGGTTCAAGGCTTAGGGTTCAGGGTTCAGAAGTTCAGGGTTTAGTGGGTTGAGTTGGAGATTTAGTTCTTCTTAGGGGCTGAGTAGGTAACCTTTAACCTTTTGTGGCTTATATAATCCTACTATAACTCAAAAGGTTCA